AAGTCATGCCAAAATTCACGGAAAAATCCGGCGTGACCTTTGCTAAAATAGGACATATCGAGCGCCTGAAATTTGCCAGAACAGAAATGAATCAACACTCCGGCAAAACATAGGCCACTCGGAGGTGTAACCTACCAACATGACCGGCCACTTGGGCAAGCACATATCCTATTTGAGCAACACAAGATATACATTTCAAAATATCTTATAGGACTCAAATTAGCATGCATTCAATAAGCAAAAGTAAATCATCTCATGTGTCTGTACATCGTCGGATATTATCACTGATACATCCCGAATAGTGTCATACATATAACATCACTAATACAACTAAAACCCTAGCACACGACGGGTATCGGCGCGGGCGGTGGACACCCACAGAGAAGGAACCATCGCGGGATCATAGCTCCAGTGAGATCCCTGGAGAACCTGCCAGGTATTGGAGAACCTGTGCTCCAACGCAAACAAGTGGCGACGAACGTGCGCGTCCTCCTCACTGACATGGTGACGCACCACCTCCGCGGGGTCCTCGAGCCTCTGGACCGTCACTGGCCCACGCGACCGCCACCAAAGAAGGTTCAGGTCAATGACTGGCTGGCTCCTCACCAACCTGTGCCTGCCGGTAGGTAGCGCCTCCCAGTACCACCCCGGCGGAGCCCAGTCCCGGACATGGCTCGTCTGGTCAAGCAGGTGTCGTCCTCCGCCGACTCGACGACGAGGATGCGGGATAGACATCGTCGACGTCGATGCGGGAAAAATTGCTTTAACTAAAAAAATAGCAACAAGTTCTTACTAACGAGTTCTATTAATTCAATTAGTTCTTACTAAAAATAAACTTACTATAAATAAAAATAAACTAATACCTAATTAGTACCTAGTTCTTACTAACTAATTAGTACCTAGGAACTACTGCCCTAATTACCATATAAGTAATTAACTAACTAGCACTAAAAATAGCCTAGGGTTCATACTAACTAGCACTAAATAGTTAGGGTTCATACTAAGCAGAGAAGAGGGATCGGAAGGGGAGAGTGCTTACAGAGGGCGGGGAGAGAGATGGGGTCGGGGGAGACGGCGGCACCGAGGCGCCGCGAGGCGGGGTCGGGGGAGACGGCGGCGAGGCGGGGTCGGGGGGGACGGCGGCGAGGCGGGTCGAGGGAGACGGCGGCGAGGCGGGGTCGGGGGAGACGGCGGCGAGGCGGGGTCGGGGGAGACGGCGGCGAGGCGGAGGCGACGAGGAATATTAAAGGAGAATTGGGGGAGGAAGCAGAGGAGAGGGAATCAGGCCGTGCGGGGGTTAGGTGAAAATAGCTTTAACAGTAGCGTGGGGAGGCAAAACGCGCTGCTGCTAAAATCCGCAGTAGTAGCGTTGTTTTTAGAAGGGCGCTACTACTATACCTAGCACGTCGGGAACGGTGTGGCAATTATAGTAGTAGCGTGTTATGTTCCTGCCGCGCTACTACTAAGCGGGTAACAGTAGCGCCGTTCTAGCAGACGCGCTACTGCTAAGTAGCAGTAGCGCCTCATTTTAACAAGCGCTACTGGTAACATTCTGTGTATAAGGTTTTCCATAGTAGTGCCACTCTCTTTAGTATCGGTTCGTGGCACGAACCGGTGCTAAAGATTGGTTACGAACCGGTACTAATGGTAGCAGCCCAGCTAGCCGTTGAAATCGACACTAATGTGACCATTAGTGCCGGCTCAAATTCAAACCGGCACTAATGTGCTTCACATTTGACCGTTTTTCTACTAGTGGGTTCTGCTATATCTAACTACAAGGTCCTTTTGAATATGATATATCTCCAACCTTCATCTTTATATTTTGGTATTGTCACTAGATTTGTGAAAGATATGATGTACAAACTAGAAAATTGTTTTGCTAATAGACTTTCATTAGACTAACAATCTGCCTAGAATTGGGTTAGCTCCATTGGCAACTACTCTCTCAATGTAACTCTAAAAATTGTGGTTCACATTCATCAAAACCTATGAAAAGTGTAATCCTCTAGTCTTTTTTTATTGGATAGAAATTGTTTTTGAAGAAATTTCTTAGTCAGTAGAGTTTGCCAAACTTGAGTTTCCCAAGTCACTTACACAAAAAGCTATGATTCATGGTTGTCAAATCCATAATTTCCAACCACAACAACCTTGAGGCATAACAAGCGATCGGGTAATTAACCAATATTTTTTGTTACATTTAAACCAAAGCATCGAAGATCCGTGGTGCTCCATTTTTTATAACCCCCTTTTGAGCTTCTAGGGAAGACACCATGCACAAAGGTATGCCAATCACAGAAGCCCGTATAAGAACAACTATGTTCATATAGAATGAATATTTCCTTTCCACCCAGTGGCTTGGCGGAACCACCTCGCCTTGACCCTGAGCAATGAGGATATTATCTTTGTAAGTATTTTGTAACTTAAATTCAGGAGACAAAATAGGCCTAAACTTCTGAAAAAATGTGGCATCCTAAACTTTAGGTACGATTGCACTCTTAATGATTAAACCACACGTGAGTGAAGTATCAAAATAATACCTCCAAATCTCCTTTTTTTTTTCCTCTCGGAATTCTAGATCAACTTTTTGTAAGCAAACCATCTACACTTGCAGGTTCACAGTAGTTCATATCAAACAAAACATGTTTTATCTCCTCCATATAATTTGGGAGGTTAAAGAAGGACACGAATTTTTTGTACGCTGTATGCTCATTATTATTTTCAAACATTTTCCGGTTGTTTTGCTAGGCGAGGAGGGAACTTCGAGAGACTAAACAGCTGCCCAAAGGTATCTTTTTTGTTTTCCCCAAACAGAACCAAGCTTCGAATACTTTCCCTCGAACTGAGCCGCACCACCCAAAGTCCAAGAGATGGACTGACAGATCCGCCGGGCTCGAAATCTCCAAGATGCCTAGGATCAGTACGTCACGCGACGACGTGGGTTGGGACGTTGTACTGTACTTGACGTTTCATGTTGCTGCGAGCATGCATGCATGGCGTACTTCAAATGCGATGTGGAGCACTGGCCAGCTCCGGAGTACAAAGCGATTGACCGACATATCACGGTGCTTAGTGGTGAGCTTGCCCTGTTGCCCGGTTGCGCACCGGCTCGAACACGGCTAGCTAGGATTTATGTCACGCTCGACGGGGGTTGGGACGATGGCTCTCAGTCTCAGCACAGTCGCGTACTGTACTATCGTACCCACGAGGCTGCGCGGGCCAGCCGCGCCGACGCCGGCAGGACACACACCCAGCCGGATCGTACGTATGCAGGGGCTCTCAACTTCGAACTTTCGGTGGCTGTCGCGTGGCGCCTTTCTGACTGACACGACGACGGTGGCAAATTTTCGCCCGACAACTGCCGCGTCAAACCGTCCACGGCAACGCACGTCAGGCTGACCATCCATTGATCCCGGCACGTTGCCGTTGCAGAAACGGTTTGACGCCAAGCTTTGCCACCGCCGTCGTGTCAGTAAGGCGCCACGCGACACCCACCGAAAGTTGAGAAGAGACCCTGAAAACCCTGAAAACGAACTGGCTGGGCGTCGCATGTGATGTGCTGTGTGTGTCGTCGGCGTCGGGGCTGGCTGGCCCGCGCAACGTCGTGGGTAGGCTAGGATACTACTAGGCGACTGTGCTGAGAGCCATCGTCCCAGCCTCTCTGTCGCCGCGTGACATAAATCCTAGCTAGCTACTGTAGGCATGTTCGAGCCGGTGCCCAACTGGGCAACAGGGAAATCTCCCCGGTTGCCAGTCCATCTTTTGGACTCTGGAGCTGGCCAGTACGATCCTAGGCATGTTCAAGACTTCGAGCCCGGTGCCTTGATTTATTTTATTCAAAAGTTTTGACCTATTTCATCCCGATTCCATTGAGCCTTCTCTGAATAACCCCCTCTATGCCGGGGAAAATAAAACTCAGAGATACTCTCTTCGTTTCTTTTTAGCCCGCATTTAAGATTTGATCAAAGTCAAACTTTGTAAATTTGATCAACTTTGTTAGAAAAATATCAACATCTACAATACTAAAGCTATATGGTATGAAAATTAATTTTATAATGCATCTAACAACATTGATTTCATATTGTGAATCTTGATATTTTCCATAAACTTAGTTGAAGTTGACAAATTTTGACTTTAACCAAATCTTATATGCAACCTAAAAAGAAACGGAAGAAGTACTATTCAAATGAAGACACGGGATCAAAGAAAAAGATTAAAAAGAAGACGGTGGGAAACACTAAATATTTCCATCGTAATGCTTGTCATAGAAAATAATAATTACATTGCTATGCCGAGGTTTGGAGGAGTGGAAGGGAAACCATAACTTGCTAAGAGCATCTATAGCCGGGCTGTTGCTCGGAGAAGTTAGAAAAATTCACGGCCTTATACAAGGGAGTAGTTTGTTTTGCTCTAATTTTTTCATTGTATTCTTGTTGTGTAAAATTGTCACTGTTTCTTATTTGGAATTGACGGGAAAGTAGATGTTTAACTATGGAATTTTTTTTAATAAAAAATGACAACGAGAAGTAGTTTTTTGACCGTTTCTTTAACAGAAATAGACGAGGAAGCAGTTGTTTAAAAAAATCATTCAATTTTCATGCACATTGCTCAGAAAACCAAGATGATTATGTGTATGTTTGGTGCACCCTATTTTCTGAATGCTTCTAAAATTTCAAAACATTACCTAGAATGTTTCAAGTTCTCCTAAAACATTTTCAAATGCACTGTAATGCCACATGGGAAAACTTAGAATCATAAGTAAAAGAGCAAAATATATTTTATTATACCATGATATGCATACAATACATACACAGTTCAACCAAAAGAAAATTCACACATCAAAGTACAGAGGAGGAAACGTCCCGGTACATACAAGAAACCCATATTTAAGTCCACAAAACTCGGAACTCAGACATTACAAGTGAGCTAAAACTCACATTATTTCAGGAAGTTTTATTGTATCTCCATCTTATTATTCTGCAGAGGTGTCCCAGACCGGCACCTCAAACTTTCACAAGTAGCGGCCGTGGGCCGGGCTCAGTGCTGTCCGGGCAGCTTCTCCTTGATCTTGTCCATGATGCCCTTCTTCTCGCCGGTGCCGTCGGTGCCATGCGTCCCAGTGCCGGCCATTCCGGTGTGTCCCGGCTGGCCGTAGGTGCCGCCAGTGCCGGCCATCCCTGCCGTATGACCTTGCTGTCCGTAGGTGTTGTCAGTGGTCTGCTGCTGGTCGCCGTGGCCACCAGGGAGCTTCTCCTTGATCTTATCCTTGATGCCCTTCTTCCTCCTCCCGCCCATGCCATCATCCTCAGACTACCACGACGAACGAAGAAAAGTCAGTCATTGATGCTTCTTCATGCATAATCTTCACGCATGCAACTATGCAAAAGTAGTGTTAATTAGAAAGTATATGTACACGCACCGAGCTGGAGCTACTAGAGCTGCCGGAGCGCTGCAGGATCCCGCCGGCCTTGTGCTCCTCCCTCGAGGGCTGGAAATGCCCACCAGCGGCCGCGCCGGTGCCGACGCCATGTCCGGCAACCGGGTTACCGTACTCGTCGACGCGGTTAGTCGCCTGACCGTGCTGCTGATGTCCCTGGTACTCCATCTTGCACAGGTGCTGATCTTGATTATCTCAGAAATATGGTGTGTTGTCTTGCTCACTTGGCTGCAACTTGTGGTTGTGGAAGCAGGTGCAGCACCAGGCGCAATTTATAAGCGACTTTAACGATGGGATAGGATAGTCGGGGGCGCTACGTGTGCGGGCATGAGTGGGCGGTCGGCGGGAGCCGGTGATTAGTGACTCGCCCATAAAGAGAAGCCAGACGTGTGGAGAAGTGCAGGCGTGTGCAGCTACTGGACGCGTCCGGGTTGCCACGTCTCAGCTTGTTCTCGAGGTAGAAGCGACAACACACGTTCTTTCCTCTAGCAAAATCTGCCATGTTTGCCTCCGAAAATGAAAGCTGGAAGTGTCGGCATGGAATGAAAAAGAAAGAAAATAGGCCAAACATATTTTCATTATTAAAGGATGGTACTAACGCGTCAGTTTTTTCAGAAAATAAATTAAATTTACATTGGATCAATCTATACAAGATCAGAGCAGCTAGATATTGGGTAACGACATGGACTATGACTACATGCCTCAAAATTCTTGCCAAAGCCGTGGCTGAATTTGTCGTTGTTGCATCACCATAGTCACAACGACAACGAACAACATTGAGAAATTGAACCACTGTAATGCTAGTAATGACCTATAGAGGAACAAATCTCATTGAGTCGTCGCAATAGCAGACCGCCATGTACGACAGAGATTGGCAACTAC